TTGTCTAGAATCTTTAAAGTATACCTCAGTAAGTTGATTTTCTTTAGCAAAATATTTTGCCTCATTCACTGTTTTTTCAAATTCTGAATCACATCGTAAACTGATAAGATGTTTTTCTGACACATCAACCAAGCGAAGAGCTTCAATAAAATCTAGCGACTTGGATTGCAAGTAATTTGAGAGTGGTGTGGTGATTGCAAACATTTTTTTTAGTAGAATCATTGTTAAAACAAAATTGAATGTTGTAATAATTTTTAAATAATTGTTTGCTCCCGAAGTAGTGGTCCGATCATCAGACTTTGAGAGGTTACATAAACACATTGTTAATGCTTTAAACTTGGAATAAACTACATTTATCACACGACCATGTGAGGTCCATCTTGTATTTGAAAATGATTTTATTTTTTGAATTCGTTCAGTTGGTTGCAATTTTTTTTGACAGTCAACAAACTCCGCTGTTCTTTTTCTAGCTCTCATGAAAGCAATTAGACCCTGAAGATCTCCAAGGAACTGTCTAGTATGAAGACTTGAATCAGCAGTATCAACTACAACTAAATTTAAAAGGTGTGCGAAACACCAAATATAAATAGCTTTAGGGTTTTGTTGCTGAATCAATGTCTTGAGTCCCGAATATTGTCCCTGCATGGACGCTGCTCCATCATAGGCTTGAGCATACAAATAGCTTTGCCAATTTAAGTTATATTTATCTGTTATATTGCAAAACTCTTGAAATAAACCTTTACCTGTTCCATCAGATGCAGTGACAAGAGCAACAAGTCGTTCTTGAATAAGCCCTTTATATACATAACGTGCAATTAATGTGAATTGTTCTAAGTTTGAAATATCTGTTGTTGTATCAATAATCACAGAGAACATTTGTGAATGTTTTATTTCATCCAATATTTTAGCACGAATTTGTTCCTTCAATATATCTAATAATGCATTTTGACTACTATTAGATAAAAATGTAAGACGATTACGATCCTTTAACTTAATTGTATTTAAATGATTTTTTAAAGTTGGATGATAATCTCCTAAAAGAGATATTAGTTCCAAAAAATTTCCTTTATTTAATGATGAGTGTTTTTCATCATGACCTCTCAGAGCTATATTTTGACGGGAAATAAATACTAGGGCATCGATAATTGTTTTGACGATTTCTCGATTTTCTGCAACTTTTCGATTAGCTGAGTGTATAGTTTCTACTCTGAGATCTAACTTCAATCTCTTAGTAAACAGATTCCTGTTTATTTCTGATTCTAAATGTTCAGGAAAATTTTCATGGTTTCTAATAACTCTTAAAATATTTTTCCAATCACATGAACCTGACGAAACTAAATTTTGTTTTTTAGCTTTGGGTAACCCAAATAATTTGCAGGAAATGCAAAAGATTTTATTTTCACTTAATGAATATGATAACCACTAACGTTTACAGGGAGGTTGATTTTCAACTTGCTTAAAGTAATATGATTCATGAAATGAACGAAATTTACTATTTGAATCATATGTTTTTGGAAACTCCTTATTTGGTAAGTTATGAGAAGTAGGTTGGCATGGACCAAGTTCAACAAAATATGACTGCAATGTAACTGAAACAGAGTTTGGAATTCTAGCTGGATCATTTTTGAAAGCAAAAGAATTGATATGGTCTTCAGATACTGCTAAATCATTTTGAAAGGTGTTGTAATCATAATCAAAGTTGACATCACCTATATCAAACATAATTAATTTTTAACAATAGTATATTTTACTATATAAATATTTATTTTTTAATAGATTAATATTTTGCGTAATTTTCATGAATATAAAAATACTTGTTATTAATAAAAACATTTAGTAAATGAGGCTGCTTTATAGTTTCATCAATCTACATCTTATAAACATATTGAAAAAAACTCAAGTTAATAATAATAAGTTAATATAAACAAGACAATAATGAATAACAAAAAGTTACACGTAACGTTAAAAATATTCCATGTATTTATTTTAAGATATTAAAAATCTATCAGAATAAACCATCAGTTATTTATATAAAAAAATGTATGTACCTTCAAGATTGACATATGTCACTAAATCATTTTCCAAGTCTATGTTCAATTCATTTTTCTCATCTGCCATATTCTGATCAAATGAACTCG